GATTGTTCGGATCAAATGAAGCATGAGTATTGGAACTGTGATATGGAGGTACCTAAAAATAGAAAAGGCAAGATTAATAAAAGTAATAAATGAAAGAAAAGAAAAGATGATATGTATCTGGTTAGTAAGATAGATGATATAAGGTTTCTTGGATTTGTGGATGAAAAGAAAGGTGATATTATGAAATGTAAAAAGGTGAATTGATTCAGTGGTATAAATATTAGAAAGAATAAAGGAAAAGGTAAGTGTTAGTATGAGCAGTCAAAGTAATACAATAACAAAAAAATAAACAAAAAGAATAGACAAACCTGAAAGATCCAATGAAAAGAATCAAAAAAAGGAGTTTAAGCATTACAAAAATCTGCAAACAAGAATCAAAGTGATAAAATGTATATAGCTGGTTATTGTTTTGAAAATAGAATCAGAATTGATATATCTTAACTGAAAGATGAAAGAACCCGAAAGAGAGGACTTGTTGGTAAATTTGGTAGTGAAGTCAGTGAAGATAGTACAGTTGTAATTATAAAAGCACCATTAGGCATAGTTGTGAAAATAGATGCAATGATGAAGGGTTTATTGCAGTCGTTGATGAGTATTGAATATGATAGCAATGAAGTAAACAATAAAAGTAGTGAGAGCAATGCATGTACAAGGAGTAATGATAGAAATTTGTTAGTTAGTGAAGGTAAGGGTAGTGGAACAGATCAAATAAAGTATGAAAAAGTGTTCACCTACCTGTATTAAATAACAAACCAGCCCAAAAGATTGAATATATCAATAAAATAGTCTGTGATGAAATTGTTGAAGGTAGATCAAAACATATTCTTGAAATAGAGACATCTGAAATTGCCAATGTGAGTAAAGATCGAAGGAAAAGCGTGAGCATTATTGTCACGAAGAATTGCAGTTATACGGGGTCTTCGTTCCCTTTTACTTAGAATTTCCCTTGGCTTCCCAATTCCACTCGCTTGGCTTTTCACACAGGCTGGGGTATCATTCCAAGTACTACTACCAATAGACTACGATGTTGACCACACAGTTTTTCCTTTAGAACGTTTTTCACTAAGCTAAAGACTTATTATTTATTATTAGAGATCGCTAAATTTAAATACAAGATTATTTCTGGATATATTATTACCCGTGTTACATGCATTATGCAATTCTACAATTAGACTTTAAATTAATTTCATGCATCACTAATCACGCCATCAACATTACCCAGT